TATATTTACTGATTTGTGAATGTTGAACCATCCTTGCATCCCTGGGATGAATCCCATTTGGTTATGGTGTATGATCTTTTGGAAATATTGTTGGTTGCGGTTTGCCAATATTTTGTTGAGGATTTTAGCATCTATGTTCATCAGTGATATTGGCCTGAAGATTTCTCTTTGTTGTATCTCTATCTGGTTTTGTAATTAGGATGATGCTGTTTCATAAAAAGAATTTGGGAGTATTCCATCCTTCTGGATTTTTTGGAATAGTCTGTGAAGAATAGGGGTTAGCTCTTCCTTAAATGCTGTGTAGAATTCTCCTGTGAAACCATCTGGTCCAGGGCTTTTGTGTGATGGGAGTTTTTTTATTACTGCTTCAATTTCTTTTGCTGTTATTGGTGTGTTTAGATTTTCTGTTTCTTTTCAATTAAGTTTTGGAAGATTATATTTTTCTAGAAATGTGTCCATTTCCCCTACATTTTCAAATTTCTTGGAATACAGTTCTTCATAGTAATTTCTTACAATCCCTTCTATTTCTGTGGTATCAGTTGTAATCTCTCCTCTTTCATTTCTCATTGTGTTTATTTGAGTCCTCTCTCCTTTTCTTGATGAGCCTACTTAAAGGCTTGTCTATTTTGTTTATCTTCTCAGAGAATCAACTCCTGGATTCATTGATCTTTAGGATTGTGCTTTTAATCTCTATGTCATTTAGTTCTGCTCTAATCTTGGTTATTTCCTTCCTTCTGCTTGCTCTGGGCTGTCTTTGTTGTTGTTCTTCGAGTTCTTGCAAGCATAGGGTTAGGTTGTTTGAAATGTTTCTATCTTCTTTAGGTAGTCCTGTATTGCTATAAACTTCCCTCTCAGGACTGCCTTTGCTGTGTCCCCTATGTTTTGTGTTGTTGTGAGTTCATTTTCATTTGTTTCCAGAAACTTTTAAATTTCCTTTTTAGTTTCATTTTCACCCATTGGTTGTTTAATAGCATACCATTCAATCTCCATGATTTTGGGTGCTTCGGGTTTTTTCTTTTGGGGTTGCTTTCCAATTTCAGTCCCTTGTGGTCAGAGAAAATGCTTGGTATGATTTTAATTTTCTTGAATTTGTTGAGGCTCATTTTGTGTCCTATCATGTGGTCTATCTTTGAAAATCTTCCATGTGCATTTGAAAAGAATGTGTATTTAGCTTCTTTGGGATGAAGGGCTCTATATATATCAGTTAAGTCCATTTCATCTAGGGTGTTGTTTAATGCCGCAATATCATTGTTGATATTTTGTTTGGAAGATCTGTCCATTTTTGATAGTGGGATGTTAAAATTCCCTACTATAATTGTGTTGTTCTCAATATCTTTCTTGTAGTCCTCTAAGATTTTCTTGATATATTTTGGTGCTCCTATGTTTGGTGCATATATATTTATGATGTTAATGTCTTCTTGGTGGATTCTTCCCTTAAGTATTATGAAGTTACCTTCTGGGTCTCGTTTTACGCCCTCTTTTTGAAGTCTATTTTGTCTGATATGATAATTGCTACCCCAGGTTTTCTTTTCTTGTCCGTTTGCTTGGTAAATTTGTTTCCAGCCTTTCACTTTTAATCTGTGGTAGTCTTTTATCCTGAGGTGGGTATCTTGTAGGCAGCAGATGTGAGGGTCATGCTTTCTTATCCATTGAGCTATTCTGTGTCTTTTGATTGGAGCATTTAATCCACTTGTGTTTAAGTTTATTATTGATAGGTATTTATTCATTGCCATTTTTGTACCTGTGTTCCTCTCTTTCTCTCACTTTTCCTTCCTTCCCTTAAAGCAGTCCTTTTAGTATTTCTTGTAGAGCTGGTTTGGTGGAGGCATATTTGTTTAGACTTCTTTTGTCTTGGAAGCTCTATATTTGGCCTTGTGTCTTGATTGAGAGCCTTCCTGGGGAAAGTAGCCTTGGGTGTAGGCCTCTGGTTCTCATTACTTGGAATATTTCTTGCCATTCTCTTCTTGCTTGGAGTGTTTCCATTGAGAAGTCAGTAGCTAACCTTATTGGGGCTCCCTTGTATGTTATTTCTTTTTTCTCCCTTGCTGCCTTTAAGATTCTCTCTTTTTCTTGGAATTTTCCCATTTTGATGGTGATGTGTTTTTAAGTGGGCCTCCTTGGGTTCCTCCTGATTGGGACTCTCTGTGATTCCTGGATTTGTGTGACTTTTTCTCTCATCAAATTAGGAAAATTTTCTCCAATTACTCTTTCAAATATATTTTCTATCCCTTGTTCTTCTTCTTCTCCTTCTGGTACCCCTATTATTCGGATATTATTACGTTTCATATTGTCTTGTATTTCTCTTAATTCCTCATCACTGTTCTGACTTTCTTTTCATTTTCTTGCTCTTTCTGTGACATGCTTTCTTCTTTGTCCTCCAGCTTGCTAATTCTATCCTCTGCCTCATGTATCCTACTTTTGAAACTTTCTACTATGTTCTTCAGTTGATAAATTGTATTCTTCATTTCTTCTTGTTTCTTGCTGATATTTTCTATTTCCTTTTTCATGTTGATATAGTTAGCGGTGAGATCATTGTAGCTCCCCTGTAGTTTCTGATAGCTGATTGTGAGCTCTTTGAACTTCGTGATAACCAGTGCTTTGAATTCACTATCTGATAGTTGATTAGCCTCTATTTGATGTAACATTATTTCTGAAATTTCTGCTTTTTCTTTCATTTGGGTATTGTTTCTTTATCTTCCCATGGTTTGTGAGACTTTTCTTGTTAGCCTCAGCTTCTAAAATTTATCTATTCTGACTCCCTGGGTTTATGTTGTGAACCTCTGTGGTATAATACTTGTGAGTTTCAGTGATGCAGACTCCTTCATGTATCTTGATGTTCTCTGTTTCCACCTACTCCTTTTATCGTGTATGTGTAATCAGTTGTAGGATGAGACAAAATGGTTTATGACAGCAGAAGAGTTTTTTATGATATTTACAGTCACAGCCGGTTGAGAGGTGATAGGCAATCTGTAGGCTATATATAGTGTTACCCATATTCTTCAGCCCCACTTGCCACTTTCATGAGAGGCTGGATAAAAGATAAGCCTCTTGTTGGGGAGGGAAAGCTTGTTAGTTGGAACTGGAAAGCAGTGAGGTTTCAGACGGTCAGATTTTGAGGTAAGGTGAGTGCAAGGAACAGTAAATAGGTGTAGTGTATGAGCAAATAGAGTTAATCACTACAGTGATAGAATTCAGGGACTTGTACAATGGGATAAGATCCGTGAGATGTTTTGTGAAGTATTTACTGTTGTATAGATCATCTATTATTTACACTAATATTAGAGGAGCCCTCATATAACAAACTCTATGTGATCTGTCTGAGTAGGGGGTATAAAGCTTCAGGTCGTGTGCTAACCGAAAATAAGTGGAGTTTAGAGGATTAGCAAAGCACTGTGGCGGAAAGGACAAGGGGAGCCTGTCTAATAATACAATATACTACTCAAGGCTGAGAAGACTATACAGAAAGAGAAGGAATACAGAGATATTATTAAAATATAAAAGAATTGAGAATAATGAAAAAAGTGCAACACCTCGTGGCTTCTCTGCTATAGGAGGGTGAAATTTGTCTCTCTATCTCTACTGTTGAGATGCCCCCTCTTTGGGTCCCATTCTGGTCCTTTCACAGTTCCTAGATGTTTGTGTCTCTTGTGGGTAAAAAGAAACGAAGCAACAAACAAACAATCAAACAAAAAAAGCAGGAGAAGGAAGGCGAAAGTGATGAGTTTAAGAGTAAAGGAAGAAGGACTAATACAGGGAAAAAGAAAGGAGAGGAACAAAGTATAGAAAGATAAAGCAGTTATAAAATTAAAAATATATAGGATTACTAAACAAACGCACAAAAAAGTTACTTAAAAAGGGGGAAACCCAATAAACAAACAAATAACAAAAACAATAACATCAACAACAGAGAAACCCTTTCCTTGTTGGTTTCAAACTGTCCAGACTGGTTTTTCTGGGTGCAGCAGGATCTCTCTGTGTGCTGGGATGCGGGCGCAAGTATGTGCACCAGCCAGGCTACTAGATCGGGGTGTGGGCGCCCGCACACTCGCCAAGCTGCTTGGAAGCCAGGGGTTCTGGTAGTGTCCTTCCCAGTCCTGTGGTGGGACTCAACCACTTCTGCACTTGTGCACACTGGCCAGTTGAGACCGGCAGGGCACTTCCCAGTCCTGTGTGGGGGATTCAGAGGCTTCTGTGCCTGTGTGCACCCGCCAAGCTGTCTGGGATCCGAGAAATCAGCAGGGTGCCTCCCAGCCCTGTGGTGGTGGCCCTGAAGTCCCGTGCCACCCCGCGTCAGCCAGGCAGTCCAGGACCACGAAACTGGCAGGGCACTTCCTGGTCTTGTGGCTGCGACCCCAAAGTCTCAGCGCCTGCGCGTGCCCGCAGGGCAATCTGGGGCTTGCAAAACCGTCAGGGTGCCTCCAGGTCTTGTGGCTGTGACCCCAGATGCCTCCGCTTTCCCCCTCACTCGCTGCAAGGCCGTGTGGGAAGCAAGCCAAGCTGCCCTGGTAGAACACCTCAGTCCACTTTTTTAAAAAAAGCCCAAAACTCTCCAGACAGCCTGCCTCTCAGTCCAGCCCAGATCCCAGCTAGACCCATGCGGCTAATGTGTCTCTCAGGTCTCCCAGGCTTGCAACCACAGAGTTTGCAGTTGAACCAGGCCCTGTGTCTTTGTAACCCTCCCTGATAATGCAAGCAGGCAAGCAGATAGGTCTCTGCCCAGTGTTGTCCAGTTTTGCTTATACGGGGAGTGGGGGAGCTGCTGGCCAGCGCTCGTGGCCACTGGGGCCGCTGGGTGCCCAGGCTCGTGTGGCACACACCTCTGGTGTTGGTCTCAGATGGATGGCTCTGGTCCCTGGCGGTAGAGGCAGCACCGGGGCCACCTGGCCGGGGCCGCTGGCCCCTGCTGCTGCTTTGTCTTTACTAGAGTCCCCAAGACCCCACTGACCTTCCACTTTCTAGTGTTTCAGCATCCGTCACAATCTCTGTTCTTTTAATTTCAGAAATGCTGGATAACCGATGGATTAGTGCGCTGCTTCTATATAGATCTGCCAGGATTTTCACCCACCAGTACGGGAGCTAGAATCTATTCCGTCCTACTCCGTCACCATCTTCCCAGCTTCCTATATGTATTCTAGTGTTTTTTTTTTTCAGTGTTATATAAATGTCAATTATTTTGAGTTGTTTGGTAATAGCTGTTAATGTTGAAAGTGTTGATACTATATTCTGATAGGTTTTTTATACTTATTTTATCAAATATGAAAGGTGAAGTGATGAAATCTCTGCTTCTAATTGTGTGTTTGTCTATTTTTCCTTGGAACCCTGTTTTTGCTTTATGTATTTTGAATCCTTTTTATTAGTTTCATAACCTTTTAGGTTTGTTATGGTTTCTTAGTGAATAACATTTTACCATTATAAAGTAACCCAGTTTATGCCTGGTAACAGCTTTTACTCAAAAATCTACTTTTTTTTTGTAATATAAGAATTGCAGTTTCCTTTTGATTCGTGTTAGTATGTTATCCTTTTTCCTCTGTATTTTTGGGCAATTTTCCATTGATCTTTTACATTTTTACACTGCTCGTTTCAGCTTTTGTTCTGTACATTTTTTTAAAAAGATAATCATGTAAGAGTCTTGGAAAATAGAAATAGGGTCTCCAGTTTGGGAAGAAGGCAGAATGTTTTTCCTGACCAGAATAATAAAGAAATTTTAATTTAGAACAATTAGTTAAATTTGATTATTGATATGGTTGGACTTCATGGAACCATTTTGCTATGTATTTTTCTATTTGTCTCATCGGTTCTTTGTTCTTTTTTTATTTTTTCTGCCATTTTTTAGACTGAATTTTTTGAAGGGATTAAACATTCTTTGTCCTTACCATAGGAAATTTTTTTATTGCTTTTAGAGAGAGGGGAAGAGAGAGGGAGGAGAAAAGAGGGGAGAGGGGAGAGGGGAGAAAGGGAGGGGAAGGGAGGAAAGAGAGGGAGAAACACAGATGTAAGATAGAAATACTGATTGGTTGCCTTTTGCATGTGACCCCTGACCGGGGATGAACCTACAACCTACATATGTGCCCTGACTGGGAATTGAACCCAAACCTTTCAGTGTATGGGATGACACTGTAATCAACTGAGACACATTGGTCAAGGAGTTTTGTTGAATTTTTAATGGCTGAAAGAAAAAAAAATATCTAAAACTGCAGTCCCTGGAAGAACCATTTATTCTTATTGGTCTTGTACCGTCCTTTGAACTTGACCTTGGCCACCTCTGGGCCTTGTGTGTCACAGCAGGATCTATGAATATGTCCTTGTTGATGACAGTTTTGTCCAAGAGGATAATCCACAAAGTATCTTGTGGGCATGAGGTGATTGTAGTTATAAACTTTCTCAAAAGACTTGGTTTTTGACCTCTTGGCAATTTTCTTGCTCATGGAAGCTTCACTTTGCTGGGATAGTGATATATTCTAGCCAACAGAGCATGTTTGTAGGAGCAGTCTGAGGTGCCATCATCACTGTTTTTCATGATGAAAACATTGTATCTGAAAGAGTGTCTTGCCAAGACTAGCACCATTTTCCCAGGCTTCATAAACTTGACCATTTCTATAGCAGCCACTTGGGCATAGAGCAGAAAGAAAAGAACCACACTTCTACTCTAACATGAGTATTTTTAAAATTTCATTTCATCTCCCTTTTATTTTTGAATCCTTAGTTACACTTCTTTTTTGTGTAATTTTATTGGTTGCTTTAAGTCTTGATTAGTGTTAGTATGTTATTCTTTAGAGCAGACACCTTTAAACTATCACATGTGTAAGTATGTAATGGTTACTGTTACAAACCACTAAAACCTGGTGGCTTAAAGCAAAAAATTTTTCTTCCTTCCTTCCTCCCTTCCTTCCTTCCTTCCTTCCTTCCTTCCTTCCTTCCTTCCTTCCTTCCTTCCTTCCTTCCTTCCTTCCCTCCCTCCCTCCCTCCTTCCTTCCCTTCTTCCTTCCTTCTTAAATTAATTTAATTGTTCAAGTACAGTTTTCTGTCCTTTACTCCTATCCCAGCCAATCCACCAAGCCCTTCCTCTGCCCTCCCATTTCCATCCACCTCGGGTTTTTGTCCATGTGTCTTTTATACTTGTTCCTGTAAACCCTTCCCCTGAAATCCCCTCCCCTCTCCTCTCTGGACACTGTCAGCCTGTTCTCTATTTCAGTGTCTTTGGTTATATTTTGCTTGCTTCTTTGTTTTGTAGTTTAGATTCCTGTTAAAGGTGAGATCATGTGGCATTTGTCTTTTACCACCTGGATCATTTTGCTCAGCATAATGCTCTCCAGTTCCATCCATGCTCTTGCAAAGCAAAGAGTAGGAGCTCCTTCTTTCTTTCTGCTTTGTAGAATTCCATTGTGTAAGCGTACCACAGTTTTTGATCCATTCATTTACTGATGGGCACCTAGGTTACTTCCAGCACTTGGCTATTGTAAATTGTGCTGCTATGAACACCGGAGTGCATAGGTTCTTTTGGATTGGTGTTTCAGAGTTCTTAGGATATAATCCTAGCAGTGGAATTGCCAGGTCAAAAGGCAGATCCATTTTTAGTTTTCTGAGAAAATTACATACTGTTTTCCATAGTAGTTGTACCAGTCTACAATCCCCAAAACAGTGCACTAGAGATCCCTTTTCTCCACAGCCTCTCCAGCTCTTGTAGTTTGTTGCTTTGTTTATGATGGCCATTCTGACTGGTGTAAAGTGGTATCTCATTGTGGTTGTAATTTGCATCTCTCTGATAGCTAGGAATTCTGAGTATCTTTTCATGTGTCTTTGGATCCTCTCTATGTCCTCATTGGAGAAGTGTCTGTTCAATTCCTTTGCCCACTTTTTCATTGGGTTGCTTGTCTTCTTAGAGTGGAGCTGTGTAAGTTCTTTGAGTATTTTGGGGATTAATCCCTTATCTGAGGTATCATTGGCAAATATGTTTTCCCATGCAGTTTGTTCTCTTTTTATTTCAATACTGTTTTTTCTTTAGCTGTACAGAAGCTCTTTATTTTGATAAGATTCCATTTGTTTATTCTTCCCTTTATGTCCCTTGCTCTAGGGGACATATCAGTAAAAAATGTTGCTGCATGAAATATCTGAGATTTTCCTGCCTGTGTTCTCCTCTAGGACTTTAATGATGTCGCAGTTTATATTTAAATCTATTATCCACCTTGAATTTATTTTTGTGTATGGTGTAAGTTAGTGCTCAAGTTTCTTTTTTTGCACATAGCTGTTCAGTTCTCTCAAAACCATTTGTTGAAGAGGCTATCTTTATTCCATTTTATGTCACTGCCCATTTTGGCAAATATTAATTGACTGTAGAGACTTAGGTTTATTTCTGGGCTCTTTGTTCTGTTCCACTGGTCCAATACCTGTTTTTATGCCAATACCAGGCTATTTTGATTACAGTGGCCTTGTAATACAGTTTGATATCAGGTATTGTGATCCCTGCTACTTTGCTCTTCTTTTTCAAAATTGAAGCAGCTATTCAGGGTTTTTTATGGTTCCATATAAATTTTTTTTTAAGATTTGAAATTTATTTATCGTTAGAGGGGAAGGGAAGGAGAGAGGGAGAGAAACATCAATGTATGGTTGCCTTTCATGCGTCCCCTACTGGGAACTGGACTGCAGGGAACCGGCCTGCAACCCCTGTATGTGCCCTGACTGGGAATCGAACCGCGATTGTCTGGTTCCCAGGCCTGCGCTGAATCCAGTGAGCTACACCAGCCAGGTTCCATATAAATTTTTGAAGTGTGCATTTCATGTCTGTGAAATGTGCCATTGGTACTTTAATAGGTATTGCATTGAATCTATAAATTGCTTTGGGTAGTATAAACATTTTGGTGATGCTAATTCTTCTGATCCATGAACATGGTATGTGTTTCCATTTGTTTGTGCTTTTCTTGATTTCTTTCCTCAGTGTTGTGTAGTTTTCTGTGTACAGGTCTTTTACCTCCTTGGTTAGGTCTATTTTTAGGTGCATTATTTTTTTTCTATATCAAAAAAATTTTCTTCTTGATTTCTGCTTTTGCTGTTTTATTGTTGGTATACAAAAATGCCTTTGACTTTCATATATTGACTCTGTATCCCGCTGTTTTGCTGAATTTATTTATTAGGTCGAGCACTTTTTGTGTGGATTCTATAGGATTTTCTACATACACTATCATGTCATCTGCAAACAATGACAATTTTGTTTCTTCCTTTCTGATTTGGATGTCTTTTATTTCCTTTTCTTGTGTGATTGCTGTGGGTAGGACTTCCAATACTATATTGAATAGAAGTGGTGAAAGTAGACAACCTTGTCTTGTTCCTGATCTTCATGAAAAAGCTTTTAGTTTTTGCCCATTGAATGTGATGTTGGGTGTAGGTTTTTTTTTTTTATATGGCCTTTACTGTATTAAGGTATGCTCCCTCTACTCATACTATGCTGAGTGGGTTTTTTTTTTTATCATAAATGGGTCCGGTACCCTATCAAATGCTTTTTCTGGATCTATTGATATGATCATGTGTTTTTTGTTTTTGCTTTTGTTAATGTGGTATATTACATTTACTGATTTGTGAATGTTGAACCATCCTTGCATCCTTGGGATGAATCCCACTTGGTCATGGTGTATGATCTTTTTAATACATTGTTGGATGCATTTTGCCAATATTTTGTCAAGGATTTCAGTGTCTATGTTCATCAGTGATATTGGCCTGAATATTTGTTTCTTTGTTGTGTCTTTATCTGGTTTTAGGATTAGGATGATGCTGCTTCCTAAAGAGAGTTTGGGAGTCTTCCATCATTTTGGACTTTTTGTACTAGTCTGTGAAGAATAGGGGTTAGCTCTTCCTTAAATGCTTCGTAGAATTCACCTGTGAAATCATCTGGTCCTAGGCTTTTGTGTGATGGGAGTTTTTTTTATTACTGCTTCAATTTCTTTTGCTGTTATTGGTCTATTCAGGCTTTCTGCTTCTTCTTCATTGAGTTTTGGAAGATTATATTTTTCTAGAAATTTGTCCATTTCACCTAGGTTTTCAAATTTCTTGGCATATAGTTCTTCATAGTAACTTTTTACAATCCTTTCTATTTCTGTGGGGTCAGTTGTAATCTCTCCTCTTTCATTTCTGATTGTGTTTATT